TTTCTTTCAAAGACTTATTCTTTTCTTTTGAAGATTTAGTCTTTTTTTTCATATATCTATTCTCTATATTATTTACTGTGGAAATAAACTTGTTTGCCCCAGAATTTTCATCTGAGCTATTGGAATCTGAATGTACCATCACTTTATGATTGCAATATGTACAAACTTTATATTTTATTCTATATTTATGACATGGACAATTCATTGGTAAAAACTGTTCTGAAGAAGTATTGTATGAACTGTTTTTTGAAGATGGACATTTTTGTAGCGCAATAACTTTAATAAAAGCTAAATCAGTTTCACATTGTTTGTGTGATCTATATTCATCATTGTAAATATTTCCGTGGACTTTTGAGTTAGACTTTTTATTATTCACATTCTGAGTATATAAATCCTTCTTTGGTTGCCCCATAGTTTCTTATCAATAGAAATTAAAATATGTTATCACCGAGCCTTATAATCTTTTTGCTAATTTATATCTACAGTAAAATAAACATAATATCTAAATAACATCAATGCACACCAATGTTAAACATCAATTGTAAGAACTATATCTACAAACCAATGAAACATTCATTCAATCAATAATAATTTTTTAAGAGAGAGAGAGATGTACCTTAAAATAAATAAGAACATAAAGATTTTCATTAATATAAACTGCGTTATAGTACATTATATCTTGTAACTTTTTAAGACCTCGTCAACGTGCCAGGCGAAATAATGCATAGCTCATTAAAACAATATATATATAAGACAATGTTCTTACCGTACTTCAATCACTAAGCCTCGCTGCTATTATTGTTCTTCAGAGAAAACGTTCAAGCACCGTAGACAATCACTTATTAAAAAGAACTTGCGTACGTATAATTCACCCTCTTCTGAGACACGCCATGAACATTCAAGTGCCGCGACAGAGCGAACGAGAATCGTAAGCGCTTCTATCGATATATCGATACAATGAATATGTATGTAGTGTTAAAAATATGGAAGGCCTCCTCCCAGAAGTTTGTTGATGCTCCGTCTTATTTAAACAATTTCTACGGTACGTAGAAAGAATATTTCAATCCGAATAGTGTCACATTGAACCTGAAACGCTCGTGTTCCATAAACATGAATGAATGACCCTTAAAATCTAGTCAATCACGTACAACGAGGATCTCAATGAAAATTTGGTAAGTGAGCACCTGTTTCCTAATCTACCTTCGCTTGCGAATAACTACGTATTCTTAAAAACGGTCAAAACAATGAAACAGTAGACATTATACTTCTATACAATTATACTATAATTAATACATTAATAATTAATGATGAATTAATAGAAATATTAAATATGAATTACCCATTAGTACAGTTGCCATTCAATTACCATTCAATAGAATATTCTCTAGCGATCCTGCATAAATAATTCTTGTTTCACATAACTCTTCGCCAATTATCCGAAATGATTATTGTATTCTATTTTTCATTCGCACATCACTATTCAATGGTTTTTTCACAATTTATATCCTATACAAATTACGTTCGCGCGAGAACATTTAAACACTATCCACGCTTCGAACTCGAATACTGTAATGCCTGAAATTTCCAGCTACGCAACCATTAACCGTTTACTCGAATCAGTGGTTCTCAATGTTGAGACACGCTTCCAATATTTTATGAGAGCTATTTTCAATGTAAATCATGCGAATTTAGTGCAGTATCCAAACGTTAAGCAGAGAGAACAATGTAAATATTAGAATAAAACACAGTTCACATTTGCTACATCAAATTTCGTCATCAAGCAATTCGGTGACGTTCATATGCGATTTACTTCAATATATTTGGGTTGAGCCTCCTCGGTCGAAGATCCTATTGGCCAGAGAAAAAAGTGTCGCAATAACGAACCCTCGCAAAAAGATAGAAACAGTACGGAAGAGAACAAAACATGGTATAGAGTAAGAAAATGTCCCAAAATAAAAATAATGCCTAAATATATAGAGGTTGCAGAAAGCAAGAAGAACACAAGAGGAATTTACAGTCAATGAAGGATGAACGAAGAAGTCTTCGATGCTAAACCAAACAAATAACATTCGAGCTCCTTATTTTATCAATACTTCAGACAAAAATACATTTGTCTGAACCTATACAAACGTATAGTGAACCTCGGAAAATGCACTCATCATTTTCTCGAGTGGCTGCAAACCCATTGTGGTAACTTCTAATTTATGTACATAGATAGGTATCCAAGCACCAATCTGGAATGTATACAGAATCCGAACCTATGTAAACATTCCCGATGCACTAGGTGTATCCTAGCACGTTATTTCGTCGACCTTCTCGTAAAAAAACAAGAAAGAAATCTCGGAATTAAACATCGGTGAAAGCGACCGGTTCGAAAAGTCGCGAGGACGTGTCTAACACGTGTGACCAATCTCAAGTGGAAGATCGGTCACAATGGTCCCTCGGAAAACAGACTCGTCGCTTCGGAATACCTACACACCGGGGTTTTGAAACACCTACAATGCAACGGTACCGTTGCGATGCGGTGTCTGGAAAAAATCATTCGAATGTCAGGGCCATAAACCGCTTCATTCGCTGACAGAAACACGTGCAGACATCGCCGTTGACTGCGAGCGAATTTGATTTTATGACCAGTACCGGTTTGCTGAAGTTAATTCCTTGTAGGCTCTGTTTTCCATGAAGTTTTCCATACGCACTGGCAAAAAGGATGAAGGAGCAGCAACCGGCAGGGTGCAAAATCTACCGGACGTATTCTCGAACACGTCTTACCTTAAATCTCTCTTCAAAGAAAGAAAAAGAGGATCTTCAGCTTAACAACTCACCTCGTGTCCCTGATTCGCGATTTATCGGCAAGATTCAAGTAGTTTTGAACAGAGAAAGAAACGTTCTACGCTATCGAGCACGGCGATCTTTATTCGTAAAACGGACTTACAAAACGAGTCAGTCTATCTTCAAGTTAGAAATCGTATACGGTATTGTCCAGATTGTGATTAGCCATTTGTTCGTCAATCCAGTTGCGCGCGGTAGCAACATTCGCGTAGACACCCGGTGTACCGTCCTCGCCGCAACCGATTCCCCATGCCACAATGCCCGCTTGTTGGTACGTGGTCGGGTCTCTCTTGCTCGGACACACTAGAGGACTTCCTCCATCGCCCTGAAGGAGAAAAAACATACGTGATTATGAAACACGATCTCGGTGTTGATACGGTATCGCCGGAGGAATTCAACTGTACGAATCGACGAGCACCGACGCAAGCATTTGAGGAAACTAAGATTGCTACTACCCTAAACTGGACCTCCTTGCGAATTTCTTGCCAAATACGAATTACGAAATTTGAAAAGTATATGCATTGTATAAAATGTATACCCATTTGTTATTTTTTTTAGTATTCCATGAACTTGGACATTAGTGCGTTTACGATCCTAAGAATCATACGCAAATGACGATTCGAATGGTAGGTTACATACGACTTAGGGTAACAAATGTCAATAATATAAATAATATAGACGCTGTTTTAAAATCAGAATGAACGTAACTAAGTATACTCTGACTCATGTGTATATATTGAACTTGATTCATTCGGTGTATACTATACCTTGCAAGCGTCCTGGTCAGCCACGCCACCAGCGCAAATAAAGGTCTCGTGTAGATTGAAATATTTCCCTAATCTGGTCTTACGTAAACTCTCCTGGCACGTGTCGCGTGGCACCACCGGCAAGCCAATCTTCTTCAGAATTACCTGATAGTGACCCTCTTTACCTGAAACGATCATTACCGTCAGGTAATTTCATGTAGAGCCAGATTGCTGGACCAATTGCACCTCGGTAGGGCAACGAATTGTTTCGGACAATAAAGAGACATAATAGTTATTATTGCACTTACCGAATTTGTGCTTGCCCCAGCCAGTGACGAAGCAACTGCTGCTATCGAAAACGTCGTTAACATCCGGCAAGCACACTAAATCGATGTTCTCCGAGAACTCAACCGGTTCTGTTAGAATCAAGATAGCGAAATCGTAGTAAAGCGCGCCGGCATAGTATTTCTCGTGGACGATCACTTTTTGCACGTTGCGATCCTGATGCGGGTAGATCTCGTTCCTCGTTTGTGTGTCCCATTCACCCGCTCGAACTTTCAACTCGGACGGTTGTTTCCTATTGATGGACAATTATCGATGTTAGTGCAATATCTAACAGCGATAACCTTTTGTCAACTTGTCGACTTGTCAGCACTTACCCGTGCACGCAGTGTGCGGCTGTCAACACGGCCTGTCTGTGGATCAAAGAACCACCGCACTGGTAGACGTTCAGTTTCTGATTATCCTTGCCCACTATCTCGTTCCTCAGGATCGCCATCATCCACGGAAATTCGCCGAATTTTGTTTCATTGTTGTAGTCCCCGATAATCCTGAAACCAACACCGTCCGGGTGTCGTTTGCCGCAACCTATTCTTTGGAGGCGAGGCGGCGTTGGCTTGTTGTCAGGTGAAATCCTGTCAGGTGGTTTACAGCAGACGTACATATAGTGGGAACATTTTCCTGCGGACCTGTATTGATAACAGAAATACAAGGATCATTCCCATGGAAACATTCCGTAGGGTGGTCTTTGGAAGACTCACATCTGGTCAATGGATGAATTTTTGTTGAAACCGCCCCTGATATCTATCAGCCCCTGTACATCCTGTGTTGCGGTACCGTTGTCGCAGAGGTAGTAGGACACGCATTCGCAGTCATCTGGAGGTGGTGTCGGTTTGTTTTTCGTCCCTACAAATGTACCCTGTGTGGTCTGCTGATTGTCGAGGGACTGGGTGCCCAGCGCGTTTAAATCGCCGGATCCCTTGTTGTCGGTGGTTGAGGTGGTTGCAGGTGGTTGCGGAGATTGAGAGTCTCCAAACACAGTCAGTAACTGGTTATCCAAGTCATTTGAGCCCACTTGTTGCTGTTGGGGCGCAGCCAGACAGTAGCCGGCTAAGGCCAGCGTTAACAATTGCATCCACATTGCGATGTTCTGGAACAAAAGAGAACGTAATCGTACCATAGTCCAAAATATCTCGGAAACTGGGGTACAGAGGCTATTTGCCCAGATGCTTCGAGATGGAAGATACTGCAAGGATCGTTTAAAAACAGGACTTTCTGGCGGCGAAAGTATCGCAATTCAAAAGTTTGATTAAATATTTGGCACGTCGAATACAGTGATGCATATAAATTTCGTGAAAAAAACTCAGCGATGACGCACGAAACGTTCGAAATCGTGGAGTTGCCAATGTCTATTAAACTAATCGATAAGGATCAGAAGATTATCCATTTAATTTCAATTACCATCTTTTTCCCGACTATAAATAAAGTTGGTATCAGAGTCTCGCAAATATCGTCGGCATTGCGAAAGACGCGTCAATTTCTGCAGACCGGAAAATCAGAAAACAGGTCGTATTATCGTTAAAGATTCACCCGAGGGCAGCTTCGAATCGCTCGGCCCGATGATCCGATCGACGATAAGCCGACTAATTCAACTATAATGCGCGCCTCCGAAGCTCCTGTGCGTTAATGGCTTCACAGGACGTGCGTTTGTATAAACAAGGAAGCTCGCCTTAATTGGATTCCGAACAGGAAGGTGATAATTACGTTAATAAACACGCTACCAGAAAATCCTGGAAATGATGAACGACTGATCGCAACTTTTGCAAAGATGGTTAAGCAATCTGAAACGGGTGATCCTTGGAAACTTCAAGGCGATCGGGTACTCCGCGGTGATGCTGCGGTATCCAACAGGGTTCAAGGCGATCCGGAATGTCAGAGGGGACAACCGTGTCCAAGTCTCCACATTCTTGGACGTTTCAAGCTGCTAATTGAAACGCAGAAAATGACGTCGCGAAATCTACAGCGTTCGATTTTCCTGTTCAAGATTTCCAAGGTGTATGCACTTCTCGCTGCAGTTTGATAATAATTAAGCAGAAAGAAACAAAGCGATTCGCGTGACTCATCGAGCGAGTTCAGCTAACACAGCGTCACTTAATGAAGCACTTTCGTATATATTTATTCCCGTTACATGTAATTAGATTTCGTGATCTGTAGGTCTGAAGGAACAAAAAAAGAACGGATGTTAGATACCCATTAGCAAGATTCTGAATCCAATAGCAAGAACGGTGATTAACGAATTCAAAGGAGACACAATGAGAACACTGTAGAACAGATTTGAACTTTTTTTGTGTCTTGCAATAATCACTAGATGAGTCTTATAGAGTCCCTTACTCTAAATACGAATCCGAAAACCAAATTGCTAGGTCACGTCCAGTTCGAAAAAACTGGGTTTTTGTAAAAACGATGGAATTTTTCAAAGAATTGAGTGCTACGTGAAAACTAAAAACGATAGGCAATTAAAATTTGTCGTAAAAAATAGAGGAGACTTACCTGAATATGTAGCTATACAAATTTTGAATTTTGCATATCATTAGGTGTTTATAAATGATGATCAAAGTTTAAAAAAGGGTAGATGCGCGTACTTTGTATGCACTTCTGTTACATTTCTACGAAAAGTGGATCGGCTAGCACGAATTTGCTATGCACCATTAGATTCTGGAGACATTTCTGAAGTGGAACCCCCCTGCGGGAAGTGTGAGAACGGTTTTTCTTTCGGACAGGTTAAGAAAATGTCCATGAAGAGCATGTGCACGGAACTTTGGCGCCACACGGCCATCGCTCGCCGGACACAGTTATTAAGGGTCGCGAATACGTGCTGTGTAGACATGGACTCCGGTTACTTCTTATATGTATATATAATGTTTAATTGTTTTATAAATTTTCACAATAGTTATGAGAAAGCTTTTCACGATCGTTCTGTTTTAAACAATTTTGTGTCCACTGTAAACATGATCCTTCGAGTTGTTTACGTTTGTCGGAATTGTCACAAATTTTTCGAGGTATCGGCAATAATGAACCACTTACCGTGCACCGATTCCAGGACACTGAGAAACTAGTTGCCTCTTCAAGTATCACCGCGCGTTTGTCACTGGCCGGTCAGTGGATCCGCGATTTGTTCGGTTACACACACAGCACTCGCTGCCGAAAGCATATATGCCTATCTCACCACCAGAGACTTCTCGATTCCCTAATTCCTCGTCGTGGACATGTGTACACGTTGCTCCTTAACAGGTTTGACGGCTTCGCTTGACTTTACTGCGCAGGGAGATGGTATTCCCCATGTCCACTAAGGCTATAGGACTGATACCGATTTCTCGGAACGTATCGATCGATTTTTCCTGCGACGTTGATCATTAACCCGATTTTCGTTAATTTCCAAATTCCCAACGAATTCGACGTGTCGTTGATACGAAGAAGAATACGGAAATTGGTTCGATGCTAATTTATTATAAGGACTGCTAATTTAATATAAGTCCTTTCTGAAGACTGTGCACTTCCGCATAAAATTTCCCAAATCTTTTTCTATCATCTACCGAATATGTATTCGGTAAATTGACTAGAAAAGTAAACGAGACAATTGAACGAATATACAGAAATCCACCGCATTCCTATGAAAGTTTGAATTTGATTTTATGACCATTACCGGTTTACTGAAGTTAATTTCCTGTAGGCTCCGTATTCCACGAAGTTTTCCATACGCACTGGCAAAAAGAATGAAGGAGCAGCAACCGGCAGGGTGCAAAACCTGCCAGACGTGTTCTCGAACGCATCTTACCTTAAATTTCTCTTCAAAGAAAGAAAAAGAGGCTCTTCAGCTTAGCAACTTACCTCGTGTCCCTGATTCGCGGTTTATCGGCAAGGTTCAAGAAGCTTTGAACAGAGAAAGAAACGTTCTACGCTATCGAGCACGGCGATCTTTATTCGTAAAACGGACTTATAAAACGAGTCAGTCTATCTTCAAGTTAGAAATCGTATACGGTATTGTCCAGATTGTTATAAGCCATTTGTTCGTCAATCCAGCTGCGCGCGGTAGCAACATTCGCGTAGACACCCGGTGTACCGTCCTCGCCGCAACCGATTCCCCATGCCACAATGCCCGCTTGTTGGTATGTGGTCGGGTCTCTCTTGCTCGGACACACTAGAGGACTTCCTCCATCGCCCTGAAGGAGAAAAAACATACATGATTATGAAACACAATCTCGGTGTTGATACGGTATCGCCGGAGGAATTCAACTGTACGAGTCAACGAGAACCCACGTAAGCATTCTAAGATTGCTACTACCCTAAACTGGACCTCCTTGCGAATTACGAAATTTGAAAAATATATGCATTGTATAACAGGCATATCCTTTTGCTATTTTTTGAGTATTCCATGAACTTGGACATTAGTGCATTCACGATCTTAAGAATCATATGCAAATGACGTTTCGAATGGAAAGTTACATACGACTTAGGGTAACAAATGTTAATAATATAAATAACACAGACGCTGTTTTAAAATCAGAATGAACGTGACTAAGTATACTCTGACTCATGTGTATATATTGATCTTGATTCATTCGGTGTATACTATACCTTGCAAGCGTCCTGGCCAGCCACGCCACCAGCGCAAATAAAGGTCTCGTGTAGATTGAAATATTTCCCTAATCTGGTCTTACGTAAACTCTCCTGGCACGTGTCGCGTGGCACCACCGGCAAGCCAACCTTCTTCAGAATTACCTGATAGTGACCCTCTTTACCTGAAACGATCATTACCGTCAGGTAATTTCATGTAGAGCAAGATTGCTGGATCAATTACACCTCGATAGGACAACGAATTGTTTCGGACAATATAGAGACATAATAGTTATTATTGCACTTACCGAATTTGTCCTTGCCCCAGCCAGTGACGAAGCAATTGCTCCTATCGAAAACTTCGTTAACGTCCGGCAAGCACACTAAATCGACGTTCTCCGCGAGCTCGACCGGTTCTGTTAGAATCAAGATAGCGAAATCGTTGTAAAGAGCGCCGGCATAGTATTTGTCGTGGACGATCACTTTTTGCACGTTGCGATCTTGATGCTGGAAGATCTCGTTCCTCGTTTGTGTGTCCCATTCACCTGCTCGAACTTTCAACTCGGACGGTTGTTTCCTATTGATGGAAAATTTTCGATGTTAGTGCAATATCTAACAGCGATAACCTTTTGTCAACTTGTCGACTTGTCAGCACTTACCCGTGCACGCAGTGTGCGGCTGTCAACACGGCCTGTCTGTGGATCAAAGAACCACCGCACTGGTAGACGTTCAGTTTCTGATTATCCTTGCCCACTATCTCGTTCCTCAGGATCGCCACCATCCATGGAAATTCACCGAATTTTGTTTCGTTGTTGCTGTCCCCGATAATCCTGAAACCAACACCGTCCGGGTGTCGTTTGCCGCAACCCATTCTTTGGACGGGAGGCGGTGTTGGCTTGTTGTCAGGCGAAATCCTGTCAGGTGGTTTGCAACAGACGTACAGATAGTCGGAACACTGTCCTCCGGACCTGTATTGATAACAGAAATACAAGGATCATCCCCACGGAACTCTGTTAGTCGTTACTCAGTTAGATAATTAAACCCTTGAAAGTTTACTTTGAAATAAGGACCAATTAATCTCCAAAAATTCAACCCAATTATTCACAAATATTCTAGCTACATACACATGCGAATACAATCTTCTATAGTGTGTCACACCTATTCTACCGTTCTAGGCACAAAATATTTGAACACATATTCCGACTTAGGTATCTCTCTTCGTAAAAAGAAACTTCATTGCAACAATTTACCCTTTCATGCGCAAACATACATTGTCCCTCAAGATCGAAGTAATCAACACTGTGAGATAAGAACGGAAATTAGAAAAATAGTTCGAATTAACAGTAGAACTACCGTACCAGTCAAAATGATCGATTTGTTTGTTTGGCAATTATTGATTAAAATCACTGAACATTCGAAGCGATCTTGAAAATAAATAGTTTCACTCGAATACTATATTGAATGTCTAACGAAACCGGAAATTATCTATTGTTACAATTATTATAGCGATTACATATTAATCATATGAAATGCTCGGTAGTTGTAGTGTTGAAGAAACGTTGAAAATTGTCATAGAAGTACATACATCTAATAGATGAAGATATATCCAAAGACAGCCCCACGAGACGTGTACAGTGATAGCAACAACACCACAGCAGTCGATAGACCATACTACGCATAAAGTGTACTACGTGTTACCGTTGTTACCGTAATTCTTAAACATGCACAAATCCTAAGCAGCCGTGTGTATGTGCTTCTGGAAGGAAACATTCCGTAGGGTGGTCTTTGGAAGACTCACATCTGATCACCGGGCGAATTTTTATCGAAACCGGACCTGATATCTATCAGCCCGTATCCATCCTGTATCACGGTACCGTTGTTGCAGAGGTAGTAAGACACGCATTCGCAGTCATCTGGAGGAGGTGTCGGTTTGTTTTTCGACCCCACAAATGTACCCTGTGTGGTCTGTTGATTAAGGTACTGGTTGACCAGCGCGTTTAAATCGCCGGATCCCTTGTTGTCGGGGGTTGAGGTGGTTGCAGACGGTTGCGGACCGCCTCCAAACACAGTTCCTATCAGCTGATCCAAGTCATTTGAGTCCACTTGTTGCTGTTGGGGCGCAGCCAGACAGTAGCTGGCTAAGGCCAGCGTTAACAATTGCATCCACATTGCGATGTTCTGGAACAAAAGAGAACGTAATCGTACCATAGTCCAAAATATCTCGGAAACTGGGAAACAGAGGCTATTTGCCCAGATGCTTCGAGACGGAAGATGCTGCAAGGATCGTTTAAAAACAGGACTTTCTGGCGGCTAAAGTATCGCAATTCGAAAGTTTAATTAAATATTTGGCACGCCGAATTCAGTGATGCATATAAATTTCGTGAAAAAAACTCAGCGATGACGCACGAAACGTTCGAAATCGTGGAGTCGCCAATGTCTATTAAAGGAATCGATGAGGATTGGAAGATTATCCATTTAATTTCAATTACCGTCTCTTTCCCGACTATAAATAAAACTGACATCAGAGTCTCGTAGATACCGTCGAAAGACGCGTCACACTCAGCAGACCGGAAAATCGGAAAACAAGTTGTATTATCGTTAAAGATTCACCCGGGGGCAGCTTCGAACCGCTCGGCCCGATGATACGATCGACGATAAGCCGACTAATTCAACTATAATGCGCGCCTCCGAGGCTCCCGTTCATTAATGGCTTCACAGGACGCGCGTTTGAATAAACAAGGAAGCTCGTCTTAATTGGACTCCGAACAGGAAGGTGATAATTACGTTAATAAACACGCTGCCAGAAAATCCTGGAAATGATGAACGACTGATCGCCACTTTTGCAAAGATAGTTAAGCAATCTGAAACGGGTGATCCTTGGAAACTTCAAGGTGATCGGGTACTCCACAGTGATGCTGCGATATCCAACAGGGTTCAGTGATATTCTGTATGTTGATGATGATGTGTAACGTGATATTCCGTGAATCGATCGACTTCGTTCTTTTTCTTAGAACTCGACTACACATTACATAAGCGTTGAATCATCGTTCACGGCCAACGAAAAATGGTCAGCCCTGACCTTTCGCCCAGTAAGTGATCAACGGGACCAGCAGACCGGGACTTCCACGCGATCGAGACCACGTAAATTGCAAACGTTTCGAATACGTGTCTGGATGAACGGTATTTACCGATATCGTTAAGACGATACTAGCAGATGAGTGTCAAGAGTAAATCGAACGATCGGAACGACTAGATGAACGTACACACCCGAGGTCGACAGCGAAGAAGCTTATATCTTGAGACAAGACGCGACTGCAATCGACGATTCTATGAAGAATAATCGTAAACATCGCCTGTCTAAGAACATCTGCGAAGTCTGTGGTCTCTATTGAATCGCGCCTGCTAAATAATTACCTGTCTGCCGTTAATTCGAAAAGGAAACAATGCGACGAAGCTGATGGCAGTGAAGTTGGTTGAAGCGGAACAAAGACGAGCACGTTTCACTTGAAATTAACGATCGGTTGCGACCACTGTAAACATGATCCTTCCAGTTGTTTACGTTCGTCGGAATTGTCACAAATTTTTCGAGGTATCGGCAATAATGAACCACTTACCGTGCACCGATTCCAGGACACTGAGAAACTAGTTACCTCTTCAAGTATCACCGCGCGTTTGCCACTGGCCGGTCAGTGGATCCGCGATTTGTTCGGTTACACACACAGCAGTCGCCGCCGCAAGCATATATGCCTATCTCCCCACCAGAGACTTCTCGATTCCTTGATTCCTCGTCGCGGACGTGTGTACACGTTGCCCCTTAACAGGTTGGACGTCCTCGCCTGATCTTACTGACGCGAGGAGATGGTATTCCCCATGTCCACTAAGGCCATAGGACTGATACCGATTTCTTGGAACGTACCGACTGATTTTTCCTATGACGTTGACCATTAACCCAATTTTCGCCGATTTCCGAATTCCCTACGAATTCGACGTGCCGTTGGAACGAAGGAGGATACGGAAATTGGTTCGATGCTAATTTATTATAAAGATTGCCTGTAGTTTCCGTGGCGTAAGTTGGTTTCAACTGTTATTCGGTGTATCGGTTCGGCTTTCGAAACAATTATGAAGAACCGAAATGGAGAAAAATAACAGATCCGTTTCAGAACTTTAGTTCGAACTATAGATACGGGTTGGGATGCTTCAGTAGACGAGTACCTAGCTGACTCGTCAGGAATCGTTATCTTTGGCGAACGAACGCAGAGAGTAACCGATCATCTAACGATTCCAGTATTTCTACTCTTCGGAGGAAAACAGTATTGTTTCAAGGCTAGTGTAATATGTAAACTACGTGTTGACGTGGAAATAGAAACATTTGGAACGCTTTATGTATGCATTAAAGAAGGCACGAGGAGCCCTAGATAAAGGTTCGCGTGAATCCCTCGTTGACGTCATGAGTCGACCTCATCATTGACCCCGCTGCGAGCAAGAACCTGACAATGACCCTTTCAAGTTGCCCGGTGTGCGGTCTGAACTCGATGGCTCGAGCCACACCTCCGAACCTGTCCAATAACCGCTTTTTTTCAACGTCTTGATACGAAAACCAACTGGAAAAAGTCGCATAAAACACCGATGGTCCCAGGCAATAAAACGTTTTGTAAGGTTTATATTTATACCGGAATCTGACGTAGCTAACCAGTTTCATTAATGATGGAATGAAAAATCGGTAAGCGAGTTGAACATAATCCAAACGCACATTTGATTTCAGCTGGTGTTTCGATCGAACGTGCTAGGCATTGAGATAGTTCCCAGAATTTCGTTATTTTTATGTTAAGGCCAAATATGACAACCTTCGATTAGGTGTTCGTGTTAGATGCCCGAAAACCAATATAAAATCATGGTTTTAATAGCACACAAATCAACTGCGTCTCAGCGTGTTGAAATTCTATGTTTGAGGAAAAGGATTGCAATAAACACTTGATTAATGTATCGCGCGGCAGATGTCGCGGCAGTCGAGTAGCTGTTATCAGCCGTAACAATTTAGACGCTGTTCCGAAGCGAAAAAATAGTCGCGCAATAAAAATTGGGTCACTACGATGCCCCTAATAGTCGTCTGCTGTGCATGCAGATTTTATGATAATACTAGATCGCGTCGCCATAGCGTGCAATTGCTGCGCGAGGATTGATGATCTAATATTAGGTTCAGTTCTATAACGAAAACCTGTTTCACTTTGTAACAAGGCAGAATTGCAATAAATACGTTTAGGAATGAATTCTAAGCGTCAACATTAACACTTTGTATCTTTTTACTAGAATAATATTTGTTCGTCGAAGGTTATGTTCGTTGTTTCTATCCAAATGTTAATTTGAATTAATAATATATCGAAATATATCGAAATATATCGAATAGTTTCGTATGTCGAATAACTGAAACGCATGGCTAGAAAAAAAAGAAAACTTCCACCGTGACAATGTACTTTGTGCACATTGCCGTGACCAGGATTCGAACCTGGGTTACTACGGCCACAACGTAGGGTCCTAACCACTAGACGATCACGGCTACTGGAAGAGTTGTTCTTTTACTACAACTTTCGCACTGACCAATAACATTAAGTCCGTCCATATTTACACACCATTTATTTCACGACATTCTCGTTGATTGCGTTATCCCGCCATAAATTAAATCATTCCCAATCAGTTGAAATAATACACAGAAATCTTGGGAATTCTCAGGAATTATCGAAAACTTCGACGACATACTTCGAAAGGGAAATTTATATAATCCGGAGAGACTTAACCAGTGCAAGGAAAATTCGCCGTGCACAAAATAGTCGTTACATTATCTGATACGATTAAAATTGTAAACATCTGAACACATAAATTACGGTTGCACTTTGCCCCGGTATCCGTGGTTTCGTCACGGACCGATAAGGTTCATCCATGTATATTGAATTCGTTGGCTATCAGCGTGCACACATGAATTCGATTCAAATCGTTTCGTTTCATTTCAATAAATTATTGTAATCTAATCGTTGACAGCGTACATACACATACGGTGTTTCGTCACACATTCGCGAGACACTTACAAACCTACCAATGATATTAAGATAGTGAACCATAGCCAATGTAAATCCATCAATATTACTGGTTAGTATTTTATTATGCAACAAACACTTACTACGACGCAACTATATCTCCGGGAATGTCCCGAACTTCAGTTGCGAACATTTAATTACTCTATCTTTCGAAATTATAATTCGTTGCTGAAAACATAAGGTATCCACGCTATAGAAAGCAAGAGACTAGACCCGTTGAGAATACTCTTCGACGACGCATGGTGTTCCTCCGGCTGTTACGTTCCATAAGTAGCCAATTGTTGATCGATCCATAGCGTGTACTGCGCGACGTTCGTGTAGACAGCCGGTATGTTCGTTCCACCGCAGCCGATACCCCAAGACACAATACCAGCCTGCAAAAAAATACCATTTTCCGGAAACACCCTCGATTATGGCTCCGGTGGCCATGTGCTTTTTTCTCAACTACCTGAAAGTATTGTCCATTCGCTGTTAGATAGACCAGTGGTCCTCCGCCATCCCCTGTGCACGTGTCCCTGTTGGCTTCGCCGCCGGCGCAAATGAAAGAGCTGTGCAATTGAAAGTATGAGCCTAATCTCGTCGTCCTCAGACGATTCTGGCAGTCTGTTCTATCGACGATGGGGAGCTCCACTTTGCGCAGCTCGGTTTGATACGCGCCACCTTGAATGATCGATAAACCGATAAGAGATCGGTACTTTCCTTTTGTAGCTTCATATAGTATAGTAGCTAGGAATATTTCAAGGGAACTCCACGTTTTAGTGTAACTTTGTTTAATTTGGATTCTATAAGGATATAAGTGTGCTGCTAGGTTACTGACCCTTCGTACTATAATTATTTTCCCGGTTATCTAGTCACGTGTAAACTGCACGTCACGCTAGGGGTGATTCCGAAGAGTAGAGAGATAAATATAATAACTAAAATACGGATCCTTATGCACTTGTAGCAAACGTTACTGATTTATGGGTACAACAATTTTATTCAATTTGAACACATGTAACATTCCTTTATACCTGGTAAACACCATTTCTGAAAGTACTAAATTTGTGTTAAGTTCACTGTTGCCCTAACTAGTCCCTAAGGTCATTTTCGCTAAATTAAAGTACCTTGTACATTCCCTAATGAGAACCATAATTGAAGAACAGAGTAAAGTGTTCATAGCCGAAGGGAAAAGGAAATTAGCCTCACCAAACGTATTCTTTCCCCAGCCAGTTCCAAAACACCTAGTACCACCAGCGAAAACCAGCCCCTGCTCCGGCACGCAAACGGGGACCACGTTCGCGCTTTTATTGAACGGCTTGTCCAAAATAACCACCGCGATATCGTTGAATAGCGCACCGCTGTAAAATAATGGATGGGTCACTACAGTCTTCACGTAGCTCTCTTGATAGGGCACCGACTGGTTCTTGATGTCCAGATTCAGTTGGCCGACACGCGCCACCAGCCTACCGTTGCTATTCCTGACAAAAGGTTTTTTCAAGCTCCGTTAATACATACGCCATTCGACCACCATACCATACCACGGGACTTCAATCCGAATTCGATCTTCAATCGCGAAACGAACTCACTTGGTCGCACAATGCGCGGCGGTAAGGATGGCCGTGTTCGTGATCAGCGAGCCACCACACAGGAACAAGTACTTCCCGTCTGCTTGAATCGACAGCAGCGCGACCATCCATGGAAACTCCCCTAAATAAGTCCTGCCGCTGTCCGAAGGATAGGGTTGCGCTGAGAAATCGAATTACGTGACGCAATCGATCGGACTGGATTAACTTAGGGTCTACGAGGTAACAGGCGATATTCCTCTGAATACCTTTAACGCAACCTAACGAACGTAAATATTATTCGACTCGTATAAACCGAGGGAACACGTTTACTCCAAGATTATGGGCATTTAACTCAGACCATAAATCAACACCTGCAACGAACGAGTCATTCATTCCCTACCGGAAAGTACTTAACAACAATGAAACCTTTACGAGCAATGTCACCCGGGCAGCTCGTAAAACAAAGAATGCCTACCTGGCGCGTAGGTGGTGTTTCGTATGCCGCAGCCGGGCTGCGAGAAGGAAGCGCCCGCGTTCACGATGTTCTCCGCGAGAACGTTGTCACCGTCCCTGCTTCTCGGGTCAGGGGCCACGGAGGGGCGGCAGCAAACTTCATCCGCGGAGGAACAAGCGGAGAACCGGGGGTCGATGGCGCCAGCGCCGTCCCAACTGCCCGAGTTTCCTGCGGAGCACAGCCAGGCCTTCATGCAGTAACACGCCTGCGGGGTGTCTGGGTATCTAATGGGCCCTAGCACCACCGGGATCCCGTTGGGATACGATGGACTCAACCCTCCGCAGCAGGTATTCGGAACAGGGCACGTCTGCGGACTGTAGGACACCAAAGGGTTCACCAGGCCTACATTCACTGGAATCACTACGCCGTTGTTGCAACGAATGGCAGCTCCGCAGATCGTGCAAGTTTGCTGAGGGACGGGAGGGTTGTACACTATCACGCTGGCTGGCCTGCAGCAGACCTGGCCGCTAGTTGGACACTGAGCATTCAGTTGACGGGGGTTCAGCACACCCTCTCCCGATGTCCCGATCACTCCGTACGGGTCGCATTGCGATACGTAGACACAGACGCACACTTGAGCTGATGGGGATTCGGTGTTCGGGAATATAACCGGAGCAAGAGTCGTAGTTGTGGTCTTCATAGTCGTGGGAGTGGTTTTCATAGTCGTCGGCGTAGTTTTCGTGGTAGGCTTCATCGTGGTCGTAGTGGCGTTCACTAGGCGACAGCAGACTTCTAGGTCGCCCGTGCATCTTCGGTACCTAATATAGAAGTTTGGAATGAAACTTTTGGAATGGTTTCTTTAGTAGAAGATGCCTACCTGATAACTACTGCTCCGATTTGATCTATAGTGACGGTACCGTTGACGCTGCAAAGGTAATACGGTACGCAGATGCAGTCCGTAGGAGGAGGGGCGGTTTGGATTTTCTCGACTTTCTGGATTTTCTTCAACTTGAGCAGGTGCAGCAGGAAGAACGGCTCGGATTCTCTGTGGAACGAATTGTCCAGGTTTTTGGTGTTCGCGTCGTTGCTCAGCGAGTTCGTCTCCGAAATCATCAGGGCGATCGAGGCGAAACACGCGAGCGCGACTAGCCGCAGCATGACTTGCTACCTATCCACCGGTTGGTGTCCTATTGAACGATTTTTAACGCCGCGCCGCGTTTATGTATACGCAGGACGTGTTGTGTGTTCGCTGACACACTCCGGGAATGTCCAGTGGCAGATAGCAGGCTAATGGGCACGGCTTTGTTGCGTGGACCAGCTCTTAATTTTCCGAACAATAGGCGGGGGCGCGTCACGCCTTATCTTCGATCGCCAAGATGGAACTGGATAAAATTAACGATCTCTTTTCGATTCCAGTTTTTCCTCCGGGAATCCCGTTTTCGGTGACGGTGTTCGCGGAGCCTTTTTATAGTTTCATTCCGATCGAATCCGAAACGATCGAATATTCGTTCCTGTCAGGAATTTCATCGTTAACCAGCCGTGCGGTTAACGATTATCTGAGTAAATCGTCGTGACGGGCACAATGGACGACCTACTTACCTAGTGAGCGGCGGGAAAAACGTTTAGATTTGTTAAAAAGCAAACGCGACGGTCAGATCGACGCTCGCGATGAGCGACACGAAAGTATTATTAACAGGGAAACGTTCGTAAAATTTCGGTCGACGATCATTCAACGGGCACGTGAGAAATTTTGAACTCGCGGGAAGCTTCTGCGACTAGTTACGCGAAGCGGTGGAGAAGTTTAATGCGACGATTGTAAAGTTGCTATTTGCGCTCGTGAACGAGCGTGCTGTACGAAACACAGACAGCTTCCGTGAAACGTTTAGTCACGCGATTCTCGATGGCTTACCTCTGAAACTCATTTTTTTTATTTCACTTGCGCTCCGTATGCGCACCGATCCTAATCAATTAGACTTCAATGATCCTCGTTAAAGATACGTGGTCTTTATTTTACTCGTAATCGACCTGAATCGATGAACCGAATGTACTTTAAGTAACTTATAATTAAAGGAAGAATTGATATTTTCAAGTCGCACAGAAAGGTGAAATGAATGGTACACGAAGTGGTCAATTGCAAATATATTTTTTTTTAAACATCAATAATCATGATACAAATTATCGGACTACATATGCTTAAATAATAACACGCCAATATGACATAATAATATAATTAACATGAATGATGGGAGAAATAAACGCGATACAAATATATAATATATATTATGACGTTTAGTACGCAAAATGTACCTAAAATTACAAAACACGAGGAAAACGAGGTTCGCGATGAACGCCGATAAATGGAAACCAAATCAAAATCGGACTCGCCGGGGAAATTCGAAACTAAAAACAGCAACATTGTTTCTCTTTCGTTCATTCATTCTTTTGTTCTCCCCCTCCTTTTTATTATCGACATCATCGCGTACCATTTTAACGCTGTTTTATCACTCGGCATTTGGTGTTCATATGGGTGAAATACAAATTGCGTGGGAAAATTAACATTTGTACAATTCTATGTGGAACAAGCTCGACACGGGAGTGTGTTAGGATATACATGGGCGCTATGGGAAACGAAAACATTCGGAAAATCAGCGTACGGAGGGACGTGAGCGTAATATATAACCGCCGAGGGGATTTAGCTCCTCTCTCTGTACCTTTCGCAATGGTCGGCAGGAACCTCTCCAGCAGCTGCTATTATTACGTTATCACCTGCCTCACTTAATCGTGAACCATGCTCTCGGGTGTCGGATTACGGGTAACGTCATCTCGCGTTTTATTGTGAATCATTTCGCTCCACGGCGACCGCGAGAGTTCATCTCCCTATCTCTCTTTCTCTCCCCCTCTCGCAACGATTCTTCATTTTTCTTCGAAACATTGTTGCTCGCGCGACTGGAAAATCACGCGACAACGATCTACGCAGGAAATTTTGGCAGGTTCAAAACTGTTCTTACAGACTGTGAACCATATAGAATTTGTTCTATCGATATATCACGTATCGGGTAACTATATCACCTTAATCTAAAGAAATTTGGTTCTTCCCTAGCCAATAATTGTGTCGTTAGACACGTTATGATATGAAAATGTTGGGTACACTGATAAATAATCAATTTTTGTTGTCGAATGAATGTAATGGAAGGATGATTGTATTTGGAAGAGCAATAGACTGTTTATTTACTTGGAAGTAAATATTATGTTCAACAAAAGTAGATTATTTGCCAGTGTACCCGATGGTAGGCTACCAATGAAATTTTCGAACCATACGCAGTTCAGACATTGTTCAACAGTAATAAACTCAACGAGAAACTTTCAAATATTGTTCGCACACGACAGAAATACTCTGCGCATAATCGCAGAGGTCGAATAATGCTACAAGGCACTTGGTGAATCATTATTTTTGGTCTCGTTAGCACGGGGAATGTTTATAGAGACACCCCCTGCTCTAATATAGTCAACAATATTCGACAGTCAATGCATCAGCGCGCTTCTAATCATTCCTAGAATAATCGTCGCAATCATACCCTTACTCGCTAAACATATCCTAACACCTAAATATCAATAATTTCTACAGGAACATTGGTTATAAAAAATAGCAGTATGGTTAACAATATACATAGATTCACGAGCTTGTATCCGTAATTTATAAATCTTTCTATAAATTCAAATTAAAAGACACGATTCGAGGTTCGGTTTGCAAGGCGTTCCCGGGCGTAAAGATGGCGACCGCTCTGCGTGCATGAACAGAACGCCACCACGGATAAATTACGACTATATTCCATTAAATTGCATTGAACAGCGTTTAAAACACTTTCGAAATTGATGAAATGCCTTCTATTCGCACAGCTAATAAAAAATTCATTCTATGCAAAAATCTGTACACGAATCTGTGCACAACTGTGCAACTATTCGGTTACCAATTGTACCATTTGATTTTCTCCAATTGAAACAACTAGGCGAAGCTCTTGCAACGATCACCGAAAATCGAATCGACTTTTCCAGTCAGTTTCACCACCGATCGATCCAAGATTTCGGATCAAGCGGATCCGAACGTTTAGACCTACGTACCCTAAACCTTACGCGCTACGAAATATACAAAATACGATAAATATGAATCGAGTATCGAAAACCTCAGTATTCAGGTAGAAAGATAAACACCAAGAACCGAAGTTCTGAAAGGAAATATACAAGAAAAATGTTTCCCGAAAACGAAAGGAACGCGGCGGTTCGCAGGCGTGTTAGTTCATCCCTATTTCTGTTTATCTCCGTCCGAGACGTCGTTTTGCGCGTTCACGGCGAACGCGTGCTTTTAAGGTCGCAGGAAAAGAAGCCGCTGCCTGTAAAGAGCAACGGTTCGGCCATCATCTGCTCGAGTGTCTTCGGACAAAGAACGATATGCGGAAGACAGTTCCTGGCGTCTTTGTTCCGAATTACCTTGAACGAATGATGGTCGAACACGCAGGTACAGAGGCTTTTTGCGTCTGCGCGAACAGGATGCATCGCAGATACATCATTTTCCGGATCGCAGATTCTTCCAATAGTTTTTTGCTTTTATCGTCTCTGCTCGACATTTGAACTCGATCCTTGCACGGTCAACGAAAATATTCATAGCAATTGAATACTTTAAATCTTTCGTGGAAACTTTCATGTAGAAAATGTAAATCGATGTATCCATAAAATGGCGATCAGTTGCGACACTTCGCGAGAATATAAAAAATTGATTACAGAATTAGAAATACAGCTCAGTTCGTACAAGGGTGAATGATCAAAATCGAGGAGGTTAAAGTTCATCGCGATATGCTACAAATTGAACTGGTCGAACCGCCGCGTTAATTTTTCACGTGTAAACTCTACTAGCCAGATAATTAAGTATACTCTTTAACAAGGAACTTTCACCTTTCATTCGGCCACGTGTCCGTGGACGGTTCAAGAACGCGAGGAAGTCTAAATCGATGAGGAAAAAAGAAGCTTCCTCTGAAATCTTGACGCGAGTTACGACGTATCGTAATAACGTGTAAATTACCGGCGTTACGAATAAGACAAGACCACGGTTTCGTTCTAATAAAGACGTAGAGAAGTCAATGTTCTAATCCTAATCGTTGTATCGTCTGACGCAGGGAATAATCCTTCTCGAACTTAACCCGTTAAGTTGAATCGTCTGGTGCCGTCGATCGACGGAAGATTGAAAACGTAGCTAAACCGTTCGCGAAATTGGTGAGGAATCAATCGCGGTAAAAATTGAGACCGTGAAAAATCGCGCGATAAGGTACAAATTCGTTGAATTGCAGTGTTGCTCCCATGATCCCGCCAATGTCAAGTCTACGGCCCCATCGTTATTATAAAACAAAAGATAGTCTTTTATTCGCATTATCACAGTACTCGCTTAACGTAGTCTCCGTTAGATTCCGTTCGCTCACGTTACACGCCTAAAACTTTCTTCGAAAGGAATACCGTATCAGTAAAGATGTCTGCGAATTCTATGCTGACGCATTCAAACTCTGCCAGGGTCAATACGTGTAAATGTATATACACACAATTTAAAAAGAAAAGAAAAGCAGGAAAGTCGAAAGGAATACGTTTAAGTATCAAATGCTGGCCCTAATGATGAATACCAAAAAGATGGCTCTTTTCTTCGTCGGTCTACGAAATGAATCTCTTTCGTAACGATGACTTTCACGACACGTCTGACTTGCCGGTTCATTCATCAACGAAATACATCTCTCTCACCGATAACATATGGCACGACATTGTCTATAAATAGTTCTTACAACTATGCGAAGATCTTTGGATGCAGCCTCTCGGTTCTCTCACGGTTCGATTCGCAGATCTGCCGATCCTACCCGATCGATCATTATCAAATGCCTTTCGAAATTTATTCCACGTATCTGTCAATTCAATCATCTACGGATAAGCAATGCACCATGCATCACTGCTCAAAACTATTCGTCCAGTCGTCCGACGAACAATCTGTATTTGCTGGTGAAAGGCATGCAGATGCTTGAAATTTTCTACAGTTAACTCGATAAAAATATTAAAGTATCATAAAACAACAGTGCATCATAAAAAATTCAATATTTCCGAGTGGTCACCAACATTGTCGACTTTCGCAATAGCTTTTCGAGCAGCCAAATGTCCCTGACATTCCTCTTTCCCAACAAACAATCGAGATTCGAATTGTACAACTAACAAACTTCCATTATCAGTTAATCAAATGGAAACTGGTGCAGTACTTATCCGCAAATCTAACACAGCTATATTGTATCGCACGAGAAAAGGAAAATCAATACACGATAGAAATCGTGCAATTTGAGCAATGGAACTGTACAAGACATTTCGTCCGCAGTTTCTCGCGGTAAGGTAGATCCCTGTACCGATCGATCGAGCAACGATTCGTGAATTTCCTTTTGCTCGCACGAGCCAGCTCCGTTGAGAGTAAAAGTATGACCGGCGAATCCCTGCGGGAACAATTCGATTGGCTGACTTCAAGGGTCGCGAGATGGTAACGATTACCTGCCAGCAAATGATACCGGGGTTCGCTCGACGTCCTCCAGAATTCCTCGGGGTTATCTGGTCAAGTTTTCTCGGAGGCCGTTGATAAATACCAGACCACCCCCGTTACCTATTTTATGGCACAGAAACAGTGACGGGTGCCGACACATGTGCGGTCCTCTCTACTTGATGCGTCGTCTGCCCATCGAGTTTCTCAACAGCTTGAAGGCGTTCGCTGTCGCCAGAGTATTGGTACCCTTCGGGCTCTTGGGACAGTACTTGACCGTGTGCGCCTCGTCGCCGCACGCGCCGCATTTCGGACACGTGTACGCCCTAACAACAAATCCCGGGAAAAAAGAACGGTGTGAATTACAGGCTGACTTGTTAGCGAGTACCGCTCTCGGTGTTTATGATTCTTGACCACTCCAACGTTGGAAATGACGATTACTTTAGGGTACTGAGGGATGCGAACACCGGAAATTAACCCTCTGCACTCGAGAGGTGACTCTCAGTCATAGATTTGATATAGCAAAATTATAATCTTATAACACTGTGCTTCGTACAGTGTATCGAAATGCGCCATATTGAAATAAAATAGCTGATTCTCAATTTACGTACGTTTTTTCGTTTGTTAGTGTCGAAGAACGTCGTTTACATCTCATTGTGAAATATTGCAGATTTCTAGTGAAAAACTGTCGAGTGCAAAGGGTTAAAAAATTGACGAATCATTGTATTGCCTACACCATCGATATTCTTCCACGGCCTTATTGTTAACCCTTTGCGGACGGAGATTGTTTAAACTATACAGAATCCTCTGCGGATTCTGCCAAATTATATATAGAATGCTTAAATAATAGAAAATAAAGAAACTATGTACTTTCTTGCTGTTTCAATAATTAAATCAGTTTGTAGCTTAGTATTTCGAACATGAAAGTTTGATCTCGGCAAAATATCGACCTTCGTCCGCAAAGGGCTAATCATGTTTTTTTTCAATCATAAAATTATATATTTGAGTACCTAATATTGCTAACGCTGAGTGAATATTATCATTTTATTGAATTTCTTTAATTCCCCAACGTAGGATTGACAAACTACAATGCAAATCGAAGTACCTCAATACCGGGCAACTGACTTTGCCATCGATGTCCTTGAGCAAATGCTGCCTGTAATAAGTTTCCTCCTCGCCGTTGTTTCTACAGAAAACGCACTCCGTAGGCAGGGGTTTCTTATTTTTCTTGCGTCTCGGTGTCGTCACTGGCATGGTACCGTTGTCCAGATCTGGACAGTATTCAAAATCCCGGCCGTTATGGCGGAACTCCTCCATTATGTCCTCCACTGGAAACCATCGAACAGGATATTACAACGGCCGTACATCACCGAAATTCTCGCAAACGGGAACACATCGAGTCCTGAGATAATAACCAAGAATATAATTTAGCTTCTCGAGGACACGGCAGACGAGCAATCCAAATATCAACATCTTTTTCCTCTACATGGTGGCTCGGAAGAAGGTACGAGCGGAGAAAGAAAATAAAAATAAAATAAATACCCCTCGGACTGGATAATCGGTCCGGATCGTTTATTCCCGCGGAGTGTTTTTCGTGGATCGAGGCGGGTTCGACAGAACGTAAACCGAGAAAAATAACGGCCGCAGTATCGGGTTTCACTGTTTGTAAACACAATCGTCCTATTTTTCGAATGACGCAGGGATTACCCGCGGAGTTAACGCTTAACCGGGAAACAAATACTTTGTGGTTGCCGTTTAAAATCCGCTAGTCAGGTGCAAAAAGTTTAATTCCACGTTGTTATAATCATAGCTCTTTTGTTTTTCTCAATTCAATGATACACGCGTGGCGTTAATTCTTTTATTGGAACTCGTAAATCGGTTGGCTGTATTTACGTTTAAGGGCGTGATTATGATTCAGACGTACGCTTACGCTATTATCGTTTTTATTATTATTGTTATTTAAGAGGCACTGGAGCGTCAAAGGGATCCAGTAAATTTTCAATTGACACAGTTCGGTGAATCGTGCCCGACAAACGATTCCAAGAATCGTCGCCGGCGAGTTATTCCACCGCACGTTTTAGAATACAGAATTCCTCTTATCGATTCGTCTGTTTACAAACTACGGAAGGTGTCTGCCAATCAGATCGCGGCTCGGTGACGCACAATGAATTACCGTCTGTCTACGCTATTCAAAATCGAAATGTGTGCCAACTAAATGTTACACTCTAACATCATTTTCTAGGCTATCCAATTATTCCTAACAAACCTCTATATATTTTCATCCGAATCGATTGAACCCTTCAATCAGACATTTACCTATCATTCGAATAAAAAACTTTAGATTCTAAAGATAAATTCCGTCATCTCCATCGTAGAATCATATTACAAAATCCACGCGACCCAGCGAAACCAAAAATCCAGACATCGTCCATGACTCTCAGTCGCGTCTCTATGGAAACAAATGATCGTCGATGACAGTTTACGGGAACGGCGAGGAATGGACAGCGAACAAGAAACTCCTGTGTACAAACTGTCCACTGCTTTTTCAACCGGTAAGATAAGAAATCCCCAACAACTAGCTCAGCCGTAAATTACTGCGTCCTCGAGAACTTGCTGGAAATCAACCCGAGTAGCCATCATCTAATCGAAAAAGAACGTCCCGTTCCCATCAAATACCGCATAAAACGACAAAGCGTCGAAAGAACGCATTACAAGGCTAACAACGAATTAACATACACAAAATACCAGACAAAGAACCAGTCCTCCTTATTTACACCCAAGAGAACGAGACGAGAATGGTCACGTAAACGCCTGCGACGCAAAAGGATTACGTTACGTTTCGCGACGCGACGCGACGCGTTCCTCGGTACCCGGTGTGTTAATTCGAAAAACTTCCGAGTGGCACGCAATTACCGGTTTGCAACAAGCCGAGAACGATTCCGCTAAGTACAGGACGAACATTTCCTCTTCGGCCTGATCATTGATCGCTTCGAGTCAGCTGGTTCTGGTAAATTCCGCCTCGATGTTCGGAACGGTATGCATGTATAATGATTAAAAATGCAGCTTACCGTTCGGTAGAGGCGCGGTTTGCGTCTCTATCGTGAAATCTGTGAACAGTCTCTTCATTTCCTCCTCGAGGCTGGTGTTGAACGGGTAAAAGACGTTCGACACCTGCGGCATCGGCAGTTGTTGCATGATCCAGACATGCATCCTGCTGACCGGTGGACGACGATCGTCGTGGATAGAAAACACTGACGATAGTATGCGGGGGGAGGGGGAAGGAGATACCGGCGCAACTTTTAGCGAGGAAGAAACGAATACTAATAATACTGGGGGAGGAAACAAAACAGAGAAAAAAGGAACTGGAAGAGAGGAAGACGCGGAAGAAGCGAACCGTGTCGCGAAGGTGTCAACGAGGATAGACCACCGGAGATCCAACTTGGTCGGGTTTCGAAATTCAACTGCCGAGGTTGGATGTCACCGTGACCGACGATCGCGAGGAAAGGGTCCGGTAGTGGGGATGGTTGCTTCTGCTTGGGCCCCGGCATCATAAATACATTCTGATTCCAGCGAGCACGGAAAGCGGCTAATTTAAATTAGCCCTTACACCGAACGACACTGTCGGGCCGCCTAAGGTTACACAAAGATCGCCGGGTGAATCGATCGTTACGATCGGACCACGGGGAACAACTCGCGGAGAACGAGAATCATCGAAGAATCAATAAGAGGCGAGCTTGAATAAAATACGGTTTTATTTGACTTTTTATTTGGACCATTCAGGAAGGATATTCGGTTTTATTTGATATCAATTCCTTCGGAGTTATCTACAAATATCTTCGCGCGAGCTTTCGCAGTGTGTTTTGAAGTTTCTTATCAAAATTATTCGAGCGTATTATTGTTTTATCTTAATATACAGTCGAACAGCGTGTGAATAATCTTCAATTGAACGACATGGTAGAAAGTAATCTATCAGTTGATCGCAATGGGAACGGAATGAATTCTATCAAAGGTTTTCGATGACAATATCGTTTGAAGTTTCAATGAGGAATCGCTCTCAGTCGACGGAAGAACGATCGGAACGGAATATAACGACTGTATCGACACGTACGTCGGGGGGGGCCCCGCGCCCGATTCGGCTCGCCGGGTGAACGCTTTGATGTTACTGAGCGCGGGCGATACATTGTAATTCAAGGCTGAAAGGTGGCAGATAGATTTTCGTTATTTCTGTCCGGTGTCGAATTACGGTTCGATATTATAAAAATAAAGAGGTCGGCCGAGGATCGTGGCGGGACCGAGGACTCCTCGGACGAACGGAGACGTCATCGTTGCTAGGGTAGTGATCGAATCGAGCCCGGAGGGAGGTGGGGGCGAGGGTGGTGAAAGGGGAAAGGTGAATAAATGAGCCAAGAAAAGAAGTAGAAAACGGATATTCACTAATCTTCATCTTTATTGTTACTGTGTAAATATGTAGGCACTGAACAAATAATGTTTCATAATTTGTTTACAAACATGTACATTTACTGATCTCCTTTTTCTTTTTTTCTTTTTATCCCCCGTTTTGTTCAATTCATTGAATTATTCTCTGCGAGCAGCTTGACGACGCTGGCCAA